GAAGATGGAGCACTTCATAACACATTCTACAAAGCCAACATCACGCTGATCCCAAAACCTGACAAAAACAACACAAAGAAGGAAAACTACAGGCCAATATCACTGATGAGCATAGATGTAAAAATCCTCAACAAAATTTTGGCAAACCAAATACAACAATACATTAAAAAGATCATACACCATGATCAAGTGGGATTTATACCAAGGATGCAGGGATGGTTCAACATCCACAAGTCAATCAATGTGATTCACCACATTAATAAAATGAGAAACAAAAACCACATAATTATCTCAAAAGATGCAGAGAAAGCATTTGACAAGATCCAACATCGATTTATCATAAAAATTCTCAATAAAATAGACATAGAAGTAAAGTACCTTGACATAATAAAGGCCACATATGACAAACCCACAGCCAACAGCATACTCAATGGGCAAAAACTGAAAGCCATCCCTCTGAGAACAGGAACAAGACAAGGGTGTCCCCTCTCACCACTCTTATTCAACATAGTACTGGAGGTTTTGGCCAGAGCAATTAGGCAGGAAAAGGAAATCAAAGGAATCCAAATAGGCAATGAAGAAGTGAAACTCTTGCTGTTTGCAGATGACATGATCTTATATATAGAAAACCCCAAAGAATCTATTGGGAAACTATTAGAAATAATTAACAACTATAGTAAAGTTGCAGGGCATAAAATCAGCTTAACATAAATCAGTGGCATTTCTATACTCTAATAATGAACTAACAGAAAGAGAACTCAAGAACACAATCCCATTCACAATCACAATAAAAAGAATAAAATATGTTGGGATAAATTTAACCAAGGAAGTGAAAGACCTATACAATGAAAACGACAAGACTTTCCTGAAAGAAATTGATGATGACAAAAAGACATGGAAAGGCATTCCGTGCACATGGATTGGAAGAATAAACATAGTTAAAATGTCCATACTACCTAAAGCAATCTATAGATTCAGTGCAATCCCAATCAGAATCCCAATGACATTCTTTACAGAAATAGAGCAAAGAATCCTAAAATTCATATGGGGCAACAAAAGACCCCAAATTGCTAACGCAATCTTGAGAAAAAACACAGCTGGAGGCATCACAATCCCTGACTTCAAAACATACTACAAAGCGACAGTAGTCAAAACAGCATGGTACTGGTACAAAAACAGGCACATAGATCAATGGAACAGAATTGAAAGCCCAGAAATAAGACCACACATCTGTGGACAGCTAATCTTTGACAAAGGAGCTGAGGGCATACAATGGAGAAAAGAAAGTGTCTTCAACAAATGGTGTTGGAAAAACTGGACAGCCACATGTAAAAGAATGAAAATTGACCATTCTTTTTCACCATTCACCAAAATAAACTCAAAATGGATCAAAGACCTAAAGGTAAGACCTGAAAACCATAAGACTTCTACAAGAAAATATAGGCTGTACACTCTTTGACATCAGTCTTAAAAGGATCTTTTTGGACACCATGTCCCAGACAAGGGAAACAATAGAAAGAATAAACAAATGGGACTTCATCAGACTAAAGAGCTTCTTCAAGGCAAGGGAAAACAGTATTGAAATGAAAAAGCAATCCACCAATTGGGAAAAAATATTTGCCAATCATATTTCCAACAAAGGCTTAATCTCCATAATATATAAAGAACTCACGCAACTCAACAACAAAAAATCAAACAACCCGACCAAAAAATGGTCAGGGACACAAACAGACATTTCTCCAAAGAAGATACACATATCATCAATAGGCACATGAAAAGATGCTCATCATCACTGATCATCAGGGAAATGCAAATTAAAACTACACTAAGATGGGGGGCTGGCCAGGTGGTACAGTGGCTAAGTTCACACGTTCCACTTTGGGTGTGGACATGGTATCACTTGGCAAACCATGCTGTAGCAGGCGTCCCACATATAAAGTAGAGGAAGATGGACACAGATGTTAGCTCAGGGCCAGTCTTCCTCAGCAAAAAGAGGAGGATTGGTAGCAGATGTTAGCTCAGGGCTAATCTTCCTAAAAAAAAAAAAAAACGAACAAACAAAAAACTACACTAAGATGTCATCTTACACCCATTAGAATGGCTAAAATAACCAAAACAGAGAGTAACAAATTTTGGAGAGGATGTGGAGAAAAAGGAACCCTCATACACTGCTGGTGGGAATGCAAACTGGTACAGCCACTATGGAAAACAGTATGGAGATTTCTCAAAAAATTAAAAATAGGAATACCATATGATCCAGCTATCCCACTACTGGGTCTTGATCCAAAGAACTTGAAATCAACAATCCCAAAAGAACCATGCACCCCTATGTTCGTTGCAGCATTATTCACTATAACCAAGATGTGGAAGCAACCTAAGTGTCCATCAACTGATGAACAGATAAAGAAGATGTGTTATATATATACAATGGAATACTACCCAGCCATAAAAAAGGATAAAATCCTCCCAATACTTGGACAGTATTATGTTAAGTGAAATAAGCCAGAGAGAAAGACAATCTCTGTATGACTCCACTCATATGTGGAAATTAAACATGTTGACAAAGAGAACAGATTAGTGGTTACCAGGGGAAAGGGGGGATAGGAGGTGGGCACAAAGGGTGAAGTGGTGCACCTACAACATGACTGACAAACAATAATGTACAACTGAAATTTCATAAGGTTGTAAACTATCATAATCTCAATAAAAAGTTAAAAAAATCATGAATGGATGTTGGAGTTTTGCAAAATGCTTTTTCTCTTTTAATCAGTTAAATTGTATTTAAATCATATTTTCTAATGTTAATATCAAAATATCCTTGTATTCCTTGGGTAAACCCAACTTATTAATGGTATGTTATTTTTTCTCTGTACTATTGGATTTTTTAAATTATTATTTTATTGAGGCCATAATAGATTATAACATTGTGAAATTTCAGGTGTGTACGTTATTATTTGTCAGTCACCATATATATGTGCCCCTTTACCCCTTTGTGTCCACCCTCAGTCCCCTTCCTCTCTAGTAGCCACTAATCTGTTCTCTTTGTGCATGTGCTAGTTTATCTTCCACATATGAGTGAAATCATGTGGTGTTTGTCTTTCTTTGTCTGGCTTATTTCACTTAACATGATACCCTCAAGGTCCATTCATTTTGTTGCAGGTGGCACAATTTTGTCTTTGTTATGGCTGAGTAGTATTCCATTGTGTTTATGTGTGTGTGTGTATACACACACACACACATATACCACGTCTTCTTTATCCATTCATCACTTGAGGGGCACTTTGGTTCCTTCCACATCTTGGTTATTGTGAATAAGGGTACAAGGGACATAGGGGTGCATAAGTCTCCTTGAATTGTTGATTTCAAGTTCTTTGAATAAAGACCCAATAGTAGGATAACTGGATCATATGGTATTCCTATTTTTAATTTTTTGAGAAATCTCCATACTGTTTTCCATAGTGGCTGCACCAGTTTGCATTCCCACCAGCAGTGTATGAGGGTTCCCTTTTCTCTACACCCTCTCCAACATTTGTTATTTTTGTCTTGGTGATTATAGCCATTCTAACAGGTGTAACGTGATATTCTAGTGTAGTTTTGATTTGCATTTCCCTGATGATTAGTGATGTTGAACATCTTTTCATGTGCCTCTTGGCCATCTGTATACCTTCTTTGGAAAAATGTTCATATTCTCTGCCCATTTTTTGATCAGGTTGTTTGTTTTTTTGTTGTTGAGTTGTGTGAGTTCTTTATATATTTTGGAGATTAACCCCTTGTTGGATATATGATTTGCAAATATTTTCTCCGAGTTGGTGGGTTGTCTTTTTGATTTGTTCCTAGTTTCCTTTGCCTTGCAGAAGCTCTTTAGTCCTATGTAGTCCCATTTGTTTATTTTTTCTTTTGTTTCCCTTGCCTGAGTAGAAATGATATTCAAAAAAATGCTGCCAAGACTGTTGTCAAAGAGTGTACTGCCTGTATTTTCTTCTAGGAGTTTTATGGTTTCACATCTTGCCTTCAAGTCTTTAATCCATTTTGAGTTAATTTTTGTGTATGGCATAAGATAAGGTCTACTTTCATTCTTTTGTATGTGGCTGTCCAGTTTCTCCAATACCATTTGAAGAGACTTTCCTTTCTCCATTCTATGTTCTTGGCTCCTTTATCAAAGATTAGCTGTCCATAGTTCTGTGGTTTTATTTTTGGGCTTTCAGTTCTGTTCCATTGATCTGTGTGTCTGTTTTTGTACCAGGATGATGCTTTTTTGATTACTATAATTTTGTAGTGTATTTTGAAGTTGGGGATTGTGATGCCTTCTATTGTATTTTTTTTTGTACTAAAATTATATTTTGTTTCTAACATTTGTATCTGTGTTCATGAATGAGATTTGACCAATTTTCCTTTTTTGTAATGTCCTTGTTAGAGTTTATTGTCAAGGTCATAGTGTCCTCATGAAATGAATTGGGAAACATTCCCTTTTTTTCGTTTAATTCTTGTCAGTTACATCTTTAGCTTATTAAAGCCTTTTGGAATTTCTTGTAGTAGAAGCTAAATTCCTATTTTTTAATTTGTTTTATGGCAGAAGATATAATGTATGTATTGAACAATTTATAAAATATTATATATAGTTTAATGAGAGCAATGAATATTGAATAATTTCTAAAACATGTATGTATAGCTTAAGTAAAGATACTAAGTCTATTGCCTAGATGTTTATGAGTCAGGTTGAGAAATGCATCATCACCATGTCAGCAATGTGTTTTGTATGCCCTTATGAGATTGCATGCCTTTCCCCTACCCTCCCCAGGTGACGGCTGCCCTGATTTCTGTTGTAATCATTCTTTTTCCTCTGACTATATCCTTAAACAATATATTGTTGGTTTGTTTCTCTTAGAACTTTTTATAAATGGAATATACTGTATGTATTCTTCTGTGAATCATACCATATATGTTCTTAATCTATATTATATCATATATATTTTTAATCTATAGCTGATTTATTTCTTTAGGCTGGAAAAAATGAAAAAAGAATATAGAAATCTGAGTACATGGATAGAAAAAGCCAGCTATATAGAAGGAGTTCTTACCCCAAAATTGGAAAGTAAAGAACCTAAGGTAATTAACATAATTAATGCATAACATAATACATTCTCATCTGTATATCTTTTTTTTTTTGAGTTAATGATAGGTTACAATCTTGTGTAATTTCAGTTGTACATTATTGTTTGTCAGTCGTGTTGTAGGTGCACCCCTTCACCCTTTGTGCCCACCCCCCACCCCACCATTCCCCTGGTAGCCACTAATCTGTTCTCTTTGTCCACAGGTTTAAATTCCTCATATGAGTGGAGTCATACAGAGATTGTCCTTCTCTATCTAGCTTATTTTGCTTAACATAATTCCCTCAAGGTCCATCCATGTTGTTGCAAATGGGATGATTTTGTTCTGTTTTACGGCTGAGTAGTATTCCATTGTATATACATACCACATCTTCTTTATCCAATCATCTGTTGATGGGCATTTAGGTTGCTTCCACGTCTTGCCTATTGTAAGTAATGCTGCAGTAAACATCGGAGTGCATAGGACTTGTGGAATTTATGACTTCAAGGTTTTTGGATGTATACCCACTAGTGGAATGGCTGGATTGTATGGTAGTTCTATTTTTAATTTTTTGAGGAATCTCCATACTGTTTTCCATAGTGGCTGCATCAGTTTGCATTCCCACCAGCAGTGTATGAGGGTTCCTTTTTCTCCACAACCTCTCCAAGATTTGTTACTATTTGTTTTAGTTATTTTTGTCATTCTAATGGGTGTAAGGTGATATCTTAGTGTAGTTTTGATTTGCGTTTCCCTGATGATCAGCAATGATGAACATCTTTGCATGTGCCTATTGGCCATCCATATACCTTCTTTGGAGAAATGTCTGTTGATGTCTCCTGCCCATTTTTTGATCAGGTTGTTTAATTTTTTGTTGTTGAGTTGTGTGAGTTCTTTATATATTATGGATAGTAAGCCTTTGTCGGATGTATTAGTTGCAAATATTTTTTCCCAGTTAGTGGGTTGTTTTTTTGTTTCAATCCTGTTTTCCCTTGCCTTGAAGAAGCTCTTTAGTCTGATGAAGTCCCATTTGTTTATTCTTTCTATTGTTTCCCTTGTCTGAGAAGACATGGTGTCCGAAAAGATCCTTTTAATACTGATGTCAAAGAGTGTACTGCCTACATTTTCTTCTAGAAGCCTTATGGTTTCAGGTCTCAGCTTTAGGTCTTTGATCCATTTTGAGTTTATTTTGGTGAATGGTGAAAAAGAATGGTCAATTTTCATTCTTTTACCTGTGGCTTTCCAGTTTTCCCAGCACCATTTGTTGAAAAGACTTTCTGTTCTCCATTGTACGCCCTCAGTTCCTTTGTCAAAGATTAGCTGTCCATAGATGTGTGGTTTTACTTCTGGGCTTTCAATTCTGTTCCATTCATCTGTGCACCAGTTTTTGTACCAGTACCATGCTGTTTTGACTGCTGTTGCTTTGTAGTATGTTTGAAGTCAAGGATTGTGATGCCTCCAGCTGTGTTCTTTTTTCTCAGGATTGCTTTAGCAATTTGGGGTCTTTTGTTGCCCCATGTGAATTTTAGGATTCTTTGTTCTATTTCTGTAAAGAATGTCATTGGAATTCTGATTGGGATGGCGTTGAATCTGTAGAATGCTTTAGGTAGAATGGACATTTTAACTACGTTTATTCTTCCAATCCATGTGCATGGAATGTCTTTCCAACTCTTTATGTCGTCATCAATTTCTTTCAGAAAAGCCTTGTAATTTTCATTGTATAGGTCTTTCACTTCCTTGGTTAAACTCTCCCCGAGGTATTTTATTCTTTTTGTTGTGATCGTGAATGATATTCTGTTCTTGAGTTCTTTTTCTGTTAGTTCGTTATTAGAGTATAGGAACACTACTGATTACTGTAAATTGATTTTGTACCCTGAGACTTTGCTGTAGTTGTTGATTACTTCTAATAGTTTTCCAATGGATTCTTTGCGGTTTTCTATATATAAGATCATGTCGTCTGCATACAGTGAGAGTTTCACTTCTTCCCCCCCATTTGGATTCCTTTTATTCCTTTTTCTTGCCTAATTGCTCTGGCTAGGACCTCCAGTACTATGTTAAATAAGCGTGGTGATAGAGGGCATCCTTGTCTTGTTCCTGTTTCAGAGGGATGGCGCTCAGTTTTTGTCCATTGAGAATTATGTTGGCTGTCGGTTTGTCATATATGGCCTTTATTATGTCGAGGTAGTTCCCTTCTATCCCCATATTGTTCAGAGTTTTTATCGTAAATGCCTGTTGGATCTTGTCAAATGCTTTCTCTGCATCTATTGAGATGATCCTGTGGTTTTTATTCTTCAGTTTGTTGATGTGGTCTATCACGTTGATTGATTTGCAGATGTTGAACCATCCCTGTGTCCCTGGTATGAATCCCACCTGATCCTGATGTATGATTCTTTTGATGAATTGCTGAATTCTGGTTGCCAAAATTTTGTTGAGAATTTTTGCATCTATGTTCATCAGCGATATTGGCCTGTAGTTCTCCTTTTTCGTGCTGTCCTTGTCAGGTTTTGGTATCAGCGTGGTGTTGGCCTCATAGAATGTGTTAGGAAGTGTTCCATCCTCCCTAATTTTTTGGAATAGCTTGAAAAGGATAGGTATTAAATCCTCTCTGAAAGTTTGGTAGAATTCCCCAGGAAAGCCATCTGGTCCTGGGGTTTTATTCTTTGGGATACTTTTGATGGCTATTTCAATCTATTTCCTTGTGATTGTTCTGTTCAAATTGTTTGCTTCTTCTTGAGTGAGCTTTGGGAGATTGTGGAAGTCCAAGAATTTATCCATTTCCTCTAGGTTATCCATTTTGCTGCATATAGTTTTTTGTAGTATTCTCTTATAATCTGTTGTATTTCTGCAGAGTCTGTTGTTATTTCTCCTCTTTCATTTATGATTTTGTTTATTTGAGCTTTCTCTCTTTTTTTCTTTGTAAGTCTGGCTAGGGATTTTTCAATTTTATTTATCTTCTCAAAGAATCAGCTCTTTCTTTTGTTCATCCTTTGTACTGCCTCTTTTGTTTCAATAGCATTTATTTCTGCTCTGATTTTTATTATTTCTCTCCTTCTGCTGACTTTGGCCTTTGTTTGTTCTTCTTTCTGTAATTCAGTTAGGTGTAGTTTAAGATTGCTGATTTGGGATTTTTCTTGTTTGTTAAGATGTGCCTGAGTTGCGATAAATTTTCCTCTTAATACAGCTTTTGCTGCATCCCATATGAGTTGGTATGGCATGTTATCATTTTCATTTGTCTCCAGGTATTTTTTGATTTCTTCTTTAATTTCTTCAATGATCCATTGCTTGTTCAATAGCATATTGTTTAGTCTCCACATCCTTGTGCCTTTCTCAGCTTTTTTCTTGTAATTAATTTCTAGCCTTGTAGCATTATGATCGGAGAAGATGCTTGTTATTATTTCAATTTTTTTAAATTTGTAGAGGATTGCCTTGTTTCCCAACATATGGTCTATCCTTGAGAATGTTCCATGTGCAGTTGAGAAGAATGTGTATTCTGCTGTTTTTGGATGAAGTGTTCTATATATGTCTATTAAGTCCAACTGTTTTAGCTTTTCATTTAGCTCCACTGTTTCTTTGTTGATTTTCTGTCTGGATGATCTGTCCATGGATGTGAGTGGGGTGTTGAGCTCCCCTACTATTGTTGTGTTATTTTTCATATCTTCTTTTAGGTTTGTTAATAGTTGCTTTATGAACTTTGGTGCTCCTGTGTTGGGTGCATAGACATTTATAAGCGTTATTTCTTCTTGATGAAGTGTCCCTTTGACCATTATATATTGGCCCTCTATGTCTCTCTTTACCTGCTGTATCTTGAAGTCTGTTTTGTCTGATATAAGTATTGTGACACCTGCTTTCTTTTGTTTGCTATTTGCTTGGAGAATTGTCTGCCACCCCTTCACTCTGAGCCTGTGTTTGTCCTTGGAGGTGAGGTGTGTTTCCTGGAGGAAACAAATTGTTGGATCTTGTTCTTTAATTCATTTTGCCACTCTGTGTCTTTTTATTGGAGAGTTCAGTCTGTTTACATTGAGGGTGAGTATTGATGCATGAGGGCTTAATGCTGTCATTCTCTTGCTCGTTTTCCAGTTTTCCTGTGTTTCCTTTGTTTCTCGTCCTGTGTGTTTTAGCCTACCCATTGACTTCTGCAGTTTCTTATGCTGGGTTTCTTAGATTTTTCCTTATTTATGTTTTGTGTCTCTGTTCTGTTTTTTAGTTTGGTGGCTACCCTGAAGCTTGTATTCAAAATCTCATGTATAACATAGTCAGTCCATTTTCTGGTGGTCTCTTACTTCCTTAGCCTAGACTGTTTGAGTCCCTTTCCTCCTCCCCTCCTAAATTATTATTTTCATCTCTTATTCCAACTTGTTTTGTGAGTTTATGGTTAGAGTGATAAGATTGTCTTTGCTTTGGAGATTTCCTTCCCTTTATCCTAATGCTATAGTTGAATATTTGCTATCCTATTCAGATTCTATCTATTTGTCTCCCTACTCTGTGTTGTGTGACCCCTTACTCCCTTTTTTTCTTTTTTCAGGTATGAGAGACTTCTTGAGGATTTCTTGTAGTGTAGGTTGTGCGACTATGAAGTCCCTTAGCTTTTGTGTGTCTGGAAAAGATTTAATTTCTCCCTCATATCTGAAGGGTATTTTTGCTGGATAGAGTCTTCTTGGCTGAAGATTTTTATCCTTTAATTTTTTGAGTATGTCACTCCAATCTCTCCTAGCCTGTAAGGTTTTTGTAGAGAAATCCGCTGAAAGTCTGATGGGGGTTCCTTTGTAGGTTATTTTCTTCTGCCTTGCTGCCCTGAGTATTCTTTCTTTGTCCTTCATTTTTGCCATTTTTACTACTATGTGCCTTTCAGTAGGTCTTTTTACATTGACAAATCTAGGATTCTAAAAGCTTCCTCCGCACACATTTCTGTCTCAATCCCTAGATTTGGGAAGTTCTCTTCTATTATTTCGTTGAGCACACTTTCTGCCCCATTTTCCTTTTCCACGCCCTCAGGAATTCCGATGATTCTTTAGTTGTGTTTTCTCATTGAGTCAGCTATTTCTCTGAGATTTTCTTCAGTTTTTTTAATTCTTAGTTCTCTTTCTTCCTCTGTCTGGAACCATTCAGCCTGTCTATCTTCAGTTATGCTAATTTGTTCCTCTAGGGTGTCTACACGTGCATTCACGAATCCATATTCTGTTTTATTTGATCCATTGTATTTTTCATCTGTAGTATTTCTAATTGATTCTTCTTTATAATTTGAATCTCTTTTGTGAAGTAACTCCAGAACTCGTTGACTTGTTTCTCTATATTTCCCTTTACCTCATTGAATATTTTGAGGATAGTTATTTTGAACTCATCTTCATTTAGTTTACCTATTTCCAAGCCCTCAGCACCTACTTCTGTATTTTTATTGTTTTTCTTCTGGTCTGGAGCTTTTATAAATTTCTGGATGGTAGAGGAGTGGTTTTTGCGCATGGTGCTATTATTCGGCTGCAGTTACAGCCTGTCGCCACTAGATGGGGGTCGAGAGCCACATGTTCTGAGCCCTCCACCTTCAGCCACCTTGGCCGGGCACAGCGTGGGTTGGGGGAGGAGGGGCACTTTCACTCTCACTGGCCTGGATTGGATCAGCTCTCGCTTTCTGGTCTCCCCGGGCCCTGGCTTGCTGGGGCTCCCCCACGCGAAAGCTTTCCCCTGTGAGAGGGTTTCCACTGCACAGGCGGTGGGAGTCCTGGACTATGCCCTGCTCCTTCCTTCACTCGTGGCAGCGATCCCAGTCTCTAGGGGCGGAGCGAAGTTCTCTCCTACCCCGTTCCAGCTCCTCCGAGGTCAGCTGCAGCCTCTCTGCCTTCCGTTGTTTGGCTGCTGTGGGTCTCTGATGATTTCTGTTATTAGGATGTTTTTTTTGGTTGGAAAGCAGTTGCTCTTTTTAGTTGTAATTTGGAGGGGAGAGAGTCCCGGGTGAGCTCACGCCACCATGTTGCTCACGTCCAACCGGGATTCTCTCCTCTGTATATCTTTTAATGCTTTTTATTAAAAGAAGATTATGATAATTAAAAGTGATGACCAGTTATTGCTTATGTGTTCTCAATATATAAAATACTAGTCATGATTCATATACTTTCATATTTTGATAATATGATAATAAATATTGGTAATTTATGATATAGTTTTTTAACAGGTTTTTTGAGAGATAATTCACATACCATACAATTCACCCATTTGAAGTATATAATTCAGTGGCCTTTAGTATATTCACAGAGTTGTGTGTCCATTACTACAATCAGCTTTAGAACATTTTCATTACCTCTAAAAGAAACCCCAAACCCCTTAGCTTATACCTGCTAAAGCTCCCATTCTCCCAAGCCTAGGCAATTACTAATATACTTTCTGTCTCTATAGATTTGCTCATTCTAGACATTTCATATTAATGGAATCATACAGAATGTGGTCCTTTGTGACTTGCTTCTCTTACTTATCATAGTGTTTTTAAGGTTCACTCTGTTGTAGCATGTATCAGTACTTCATTTCTTTTTACCACCAAGTAATATTCCATTGTATGGATATAGACCACATTTTGTTTATCCATTCATCAGGTGATGGACATTTGGGTTGTTTCCACTTTTTAGCTATTATGAATACTGCTGCAATGAACATTCATTTGCAGGTTTTTGTGTGAACATGTTTTTAATTCTCTTGGGTGTATACCTAGGAGTGAAATTGCTGGATCATATAGTAATTCTCTCTTTTTTCAGGAATTGCTGAACTATTTTCCACAACAGCCGCACAATTTTACATTCAACCAGCAATCTATAAGGGGTTCCATATCTTCTCCAACACTTGTTATTTTCCTTTTTTTTTGTTTTAATTATAGCCATCCTAGTGGATTTGAAGTGGTATCTCATTATGGTTTTGATTTTCATTTCTCAAATGACCAATGATGTGAGCATCTTTTCGTGTGTTTAGTGGCCATTTGTATATGCTCTTTGGATATATGTTTATTCAAGTTCTTTGCTGATTTTTTAATTGGATTATTTGTATTTTTATTGCTGAGTTATAAGAGTACAAAATATTTTGAACACTATACCTTTATCAGATTTATAAATAAGGTTTAATATTTAGAAATACAATCTAACCCTTACATTTTGACCTGGCAATAAGGGATTTCAGTGGATAGATAAAACGTTCATTAACATCACAGCCTTGAAGTGGTAGTCATAACATATTGATATATTCATGTTTTTCAGTGCCTCTGTGATAGTTGAGCAGAGTTGTGCTGCGATAGGATAAATTGATTAGCATTTACTAAGACAGAATCAGTATTTTAGGGAAAGTTTTGGGTGCTCTTCATTAAAGCGACTATGGACTTTGGGTTCTTACTGAAAGACTGATGTTTTATAAGAGCCAGTGACACTGCACCTTATAACCCCTCTTGGAATTTTGTAAAGATCTGCATCACTTTGCAACGCATAGGCCATAACATATTCCAGTGAAAAAGTTATCTGTTTGCTGGGGGTATTCCTCTTATATCCCTTAAAGTTACAATATTGTGTCATTTATCTTGTAATCTTTTTCTCTCACATTTGTTGTTCAAATCCCCTGTTAATTCGTGGATATCCTCTCCTTGGGACACCAGCTCTTAGCTGGGGTGTACCTCTCTTTAAAATAGTACTGCTTGGATTGCTTTTCTCACAAACCCATATCCTTCTTGTCTTCTGTAAATTTTTTATATGTGTTAAAAGAAATTATGAAGGCAGAGAAAAATGCTTTAGCTCTTTAAACATTTCTCCAATATATTTTCTTTCTTTTTTTTTTCTTTGCTTCTAGGGAAGTAATACCAATGAGGTACTTGAAAGCCAGCTTGAAGAGAAGCCTGAAGATATTGTAACATCAGGTTAAGAAACTAATTTACTTTTTGTGTTTATTATTAAGATAATTAAAAACAAGAGTAGTTATATCACAAAAAGAAAATTAGTAATTTGCTTTAAGTGGATTTCATTTTTTTGTTGGGGAATAAATATGCATTTTGTTATAGTTTTGGTATATGGTATTTATTTTGTAATACCCCAAAGAAAAGACTTTGACACAAGAGTTATTTTCATTTTTTTTCATGCTCCTTTACTCCTTAAAGGACAAGGAAAAAGTTAAATCTTAACTATAATCTATGAAAATGTATTTTTGTTAAACATTGTTAATTGTAGAGCTGTTGATCTCTTCTGTAGAGTGGTGTATATGTGTGTGTGTGTGGAAGAGAAAGGGAAGGGGGGTATAGGAAATTGTTAGCATTAAATTTGAGAACTTACCACAAATTATCAGTAAGATATTTAATTAATGGAAAATACTGTTCATGCAGTCAAACTCTTTGGGGGCCGGCCTGGTTGCCTAGTGGTTAAGTTCAGTGCGCTCCACTTCAGTGGCCCAGGTTCAGTTCCTGGGCATGGACCTACACCACTCATTGGTGGCTGTGCTGAGGCAGTGACCCACATACAAAATAGAGAAAGATTGGCACAGATGTTAGCTCATGGCAAATCTTCCTCAGCAAAAAAACCCCACAGCAACAACAAAAACTCTCTGTTAAAAGACTCATTTAGAAATAAAATATATGCATAATACTCTATCTTTAAAATCTTGGATTCTGTAGTGTGGGATAATTTATATATTGTTACTTTTTTGTTTGATGAGGAAGATTGGCCCTGAGCTAACATCTGTTGCCAGTCTTCCTCTTTTTGCTTGAGGAAGATTGTCCCTGGGCTAACATCTGTACCAGTCTTCCTCTATTTTATATGTGAGATGCCGCCACAGCATGGTTTGATGAGCAGTGTGTGTGTCTGTGCCTGGGATCTGAACCTGTGAACTCTGACCCACTGAAGTGGAGTGTGTGAACTTGACTACCATGCCAGTGAGTTGGCCCCAACAATGTTTATAAGACATTGCCACAGGTTCCCTCTCTCCTTCTCTACTTCTACTGCCCTGACTGCATCAGGCTTTGATGTATTTGTTTCCTACCCTCTGAGGCTCAGCCAGCCTAGCAGAGCTATTGCATCTTTAGTTACTCTCTGCCTGACACATTCAAGTTGTAGGTGTAGGAGATCACACTTCCCTTTTCACTATCACTGTTGAAGATGGAGGTTAACCTCGCTCACTCAGTGGTGGTTACCATCTTCTATTTTTTCTTTACCATTTTTCACTTATCCAAACAGTTATTTCAAAGCTAGTGACTTCTTTCCTTTTTTTGTATTCCTGTGGCTTCCTGTACTTACATCTAACATTTATTGACCATTGTGTTCCAGGAGCTTTACTTGGATTATACAAATTAATCCTCACAGCAGTCAGTTGAGGGCACTATTATTATTTATCCACATTTTTACAGATGCGAAAACTGAGGATCAAATGTCTGAGGTGACCAGTCAGAGATCATTAAGTGATAGGGATCTGTTTGACCAGAGAGCTCAAGCATGTAACCGCGTTGCCGCCAACATCTAATATAGACTTGTGTCACACCTGTAAGATAAGCTATCAGTATCCTGTTTTACAAATGAGAAATCCAAGGCTTGGAAAAATGACTGACCACAGTCATGCAGCTAATAGTGACCAGAATAAGTTTTGTTTTTTACTACAGTTAAGCATGTTTTTGTATCTCAATTCTTTATTCCCTCTCTCTCCCTTTTAGGTTTTCCTTTTCTACTTGCTAAATATATATTCTTTATATTCCTAGGAAAACTTAAAAAAATGCTTCCATTAGCCTCTCTTGAATGGTCCCTATATTCTCTGGTTACAAACAACTTTCTTTTAGTCTCTTTTTCTAATCCCAAGTCTATCACTGACTATCTGGGATTCATTTTATTTCTCTTGACTTTTAGCAAAATATACTCTCTACCCGTTTTTATGTCTTTCCATTGATGGATCTGAGATCTTATCACTTTATATGTGTTTTCATTTTATCTCCACGGTTGTTTGTTTACTGTAACTCCGCCATCTTCCCAGAGAGTCATCAGCTTGTTTTTACTAAACAATGTTTATATTTGAGTAGCTGCTTTGATTTAAGTTGCTCATTGTTCCTGGTGAGAAAAAATTGTAATAGTATTTTATTAGTGCACTTAAACATATAAATAATGTGTTTATTGTTTTATATATAATAAAATAATTCTATTAATTTCTTAGCAGATGTCCCTCTTATAAAGGAGAAAGCTGAAACTATTCCAAGTGAGGTAAGGGAACTTGGAAGAGAACTTCTAATAGTCACTATTTTATAAAGGGATAAAATATTTGTAAATGGAGAAATATTTATAGATGGGAGGAAAAAAAGCACTAGAGAAGTTTTTCAGATTTTCATGGTTATTTCTGTAATGGCAATATCTGTACAGTTGCATGATTTGTTTAAGTTCAATTACACTCTTAAAAGAGAAGTTTCAGCATATAATAGTAACATTTAGAAATACAGGGGCCAGCCCCATGGCTAAGTGGTTAAGTTTGCACGCTCCACTTCAGTGGCCCAGGGTTTCGCCAGTTCGGATCCTGGCTGCAGACATGGCACTGTTCATCAGGCCACACTGAGGCAGCATCCTACATGCCACAACTAGAAGGACCCACAACTAAAAATGCACAACTATGTACCAGGGGGCTTTGGGGAGAAAAAGGAAAAATAAAATCCTAAAAAAAAATGCATGCAAAGATAGGGAACAAAAGGTGTTGATGAAGAGAAAAGGGGGAAACAAGTAAGAAAAAATAATGAAGTTCTGTGCAATGATCTTAGAAATGGATGCCACAGACCTAACCTTATTCTTTAGTCAATCTTTCTCTGTGGAATAATAATCTATATTTTATAATATAAATAAAAATAGAGTTCACATAAGATTATTTGCTTTTTAGCTAATTTTACAGAAGATATTCATTCCATAAAGCAGTGGATCCCTATGTAAACCAATAAAGAATAAAAAATTCTTCTATACTACTTGACATATAGGATTTAATGATTTCCATCCTTGGGGCAATGGCTCCCACGTACCAACTGAAGAGTCACTGTGTGCTGTTTTCCCCAGTCCAAGGAGAGAGAAAAGAAAAGACAATATAGAAAATGTTTAATACAGCTAAATTTATTTAGCATCCCAGGCTGTCCTTTATTTTATGATACCATTCTTTGAGCTATTTTACTATTGAAATTTCCTTTATTTTATGATATACTGGTGATAGTATAATAGTAAAATGTCAGACCCCTCAATTTTCTTTTTTGAGATGTTGCTGATTAACAAAATATGAATATATGAGAACCACTGCTTTATAAAGTAGTATGATCATTTTTATGGATAATATTCTATAGTCCATGGTTCCAGGCAAGTAGAGAATTTCTTCACTCTTTTAATAAGGAATGTAATAATTTACAAATATTGATGATATCTTGTTCTGATAAATGATAAGGGTACAAATGATTTTAAGTCCAGTTTTATTCATTTTAAATATTTCCTAGTCAGTAGTGATTAATTGGTGGCTTGTTTTATTGATATATTTTATAGTTACTGGATAATGATAATAAGAAAGGCCTGACGCTACCAACTTTGAACCAACCGGAGCATGATAATTCAAATGCCGTTGCTCCTGAAAGTGATGAACCAACAAAGCAAACAAATACTCCATTGTTCATTATTCCTTTCGTAACAATAACAGATGAGGACAAAATACGAACCTTAGGGGAACAGCAGTCAGAAGCTGTGCCAGATGGAACAAGGAAAAATGTGTTCCATCCACCAGAAGTAAAATTGAAAGCTAGATATCCAGGCCTTTTAAGAACAGACTCATCACCATCAGAGGTAAAGTTGGGACATATCTATACAGACCCAGGTAGAATAAAAGGGGAGGGACTTAGGTTCATCTCCAACAGAAATTGGGCGGCAAAGCAGCAATCTGAGCTTAGCTAGCAGGAAGAGCGCAAGCTTGGTTTCCCCAGATTCAAACTCGAAAGATAGCTTTCAAAGCCAAGATCCAAAGGAAGACCTTGAACTAAGGGTGTCTGCCCTCATGTTAGAAGTATAAGATTAGGAAAAACAAAATAATTTGTTTAAAAAACAAATTAAATACAAATAAATTGAAAATGCATTCAAATGTCTCCAAGTGAAAGTGTACCTAAGTATGTTCAACATTCCTACCCTGCTTATATTCATCAAGTAAGGAGGAAAGAACCCTTGAAGGAAAAGTCTCATGGGGTGGTGTAAAATTCAGCTGAAAGTATAGCAACAATAACAAGATGTAAATCCAAAGGGAAGAAAAGCCTGGGGAGTTATTTCAGTGGAAATTTTTAATAAAACTGTTACATTACAGGAAATAGCTTATGTTCTTCCTGTTAGAAGTAATTTTATAGTTTAAAATGAGACCTATCTGAATGTAAATTTAACGGTACACCAGGTAAAGCCTTTCTCCAAATGACAGTTATTCTACTTCGACCTTTCTGTCTTGTTTGAGTCACTGTTATGGGAAAATCATAAAGCAGTATGAGAATGCACACTGGGCAGTGGGGAAGCAATCTGAGTTCTAAGTACGGTTCTGCCTCCAAATACTTCACTAGGCCTGGGCACCTAAATCTCTAGGTGTGTTTCCTCATTTATAGTAGATCATACTAGGTCATTTCTCAATTCCCTTCCAAATTCCGAAAGATATAATTTTATTAAATATCTCCAGTTGGGGAATTGTTCTTAGTTTCCTTTATCAATAGCCTAACCAATGTAACTTAAAAAGAATAGCATTCTTGTTTTTTCTGAATGTGAAAGTAATATACAGTCATAGAAAATTTAGAAAATAGAAGCATAAAAGTAGTTATAATTCTACTGCCATGTTTAACAATTTTATTTCCTTTCAGTCTTTGTTATGCATATGTACATATATCTTTTGTTTTCAAAAACTTAGATCAAACCATATATGTATATATATACAATTTTATATTATGCTTTTTTAAACTTTACATTATAAGCATGTTACCTGAGTTTTCTTAAAAATTTGCAAGTTGCAAAATATTCTCAAATATGGATATTCAGTAATTCTTTAAACAGTTTCTATATTGTTGGACATTAAGTTTGAAATTAATATCCTTTTACTTATTTATTTGGAGCTGTGATTATCTCATATATTCTTAGAAATGGCATGTTGACAAATTGCTCTCTAGAAAGATTGTACTGGTTTTTTTTCTCACCAGTGGTAATTGAGCATTTATGGTCTTCTAAATAATGATTAAAGCTTTTTTTTTTTATTGCATTTCAAAAAGATTAAAGCTTTTTCCTGCTTATTAGCCATTTTGATTTTCCCTATGAGTAGAAAGATCATGTCCTTTGTCCATTGTTTTCTGTTGAGTACTTGGTGATGCTGTTTATGTTTTATAATGAGCTGTTTTTATATTATAAGGATATTAACCACTTGTATATTTATGGCACATACTTTTTCATAGTTTTTAGTTTGCCTTTTAATTTCTTTATTGAGTCTGACTTCCGAAATATTCAGTTTTCATTTGATAAGTGAGTTATATATTGTAGCACAATAAACCAGTTCAGAACTTAGTGGCTTAAAATAACCATTTTACTCTCTCTCAAGATTGTGTGGTTTGACTGTGCTTAGCTGGGCAGTTGTTTTGCTCCACTTGATGTTGGCTGGTCCTATAGTCATCTAGGAGCTGCTGGGCTGGAACACTCAAGATGGCTCTTTTGTATGTCTTATACCTTGATGGACAGCTGTAAATCTAGCTCAGTTGGGATGCATGGACATCTGGTGTGATGTGTCTGTTTCTCTCTCTCTTTCCTTCCCTCCCTCCCTATGTCCCTCTCCCTCTCCTCATGGCCTCTTCATGTGTTCTCTCTCTATGCCCTTTCTAGGAGGGTAGCTGAATATATATAAAACAGAAGCTTCAGGTACTCTTAAGACTTAGGCTTCAAAACCAGCACAGGGTCACTTCCACTGCATTCTGTTGGTTAAAGCAAGTCTTAGGCTCAGCACTGATTTGGTATTGGAGGGGACTAAAAAAGGGCGTGAAGCTTGGAAGGCGTTGTTCACTGGGGGCCAGCCCAGTGGTGCAGCAGTTAAGTTCGCACATTCCACTTCTCGGCGGCCTGGGGTTCGCCGGTTTGGATGCTATTATTGCATCAGGCTCAGGCTTACGGGCAGAATTTCATCATCTAAATCAGATCCAGGTGGATGAGGCTTCTTGAGGCTTGTCTCAATCTTAAAACCTGTGAATCAAAGAGACCAGTTTTCTGTCCCCTATATACAACGGTGAGTCAGGAACGGGAAAACTGGAATAGACACTTTATTCTGTGGGCTTCCTGTGCGTCAAATTATGATCTCAGCCAAATGTTACACCTCTAAATATTTTTGAGACAGGCCCTTATTTACCTTTGGCTGATCATCAAGGTGCTGTAGCACAATATTCTTAAGAATTTTAGAAGCTCTCCCATCTAGCAGAGAGGATCTAGGAGGCTACCCTATGATAATTTGAATATTTTTTGTCGAGCTGAGTGGGTATTTTTTGAGGTCTTAACAACAGTTCTTAGCCAAACCCTTATGACCTTGACCTTGAAACCAGGTTTTACTGGCAGTGCAATTGGAACTTGACTGATAAAGTCATGAGGTGGGGATTTCTGGCATTGGTTCAGTGGCTTAACAGTGTCACCATGGACCCAGGAGCCAGGCTCTTGCCTATCTTTTTCTCTTTTTCACACCCATGCTTGTCACTGCATGACCACCAGATGTTTGCTTCAGTTGTGGGTATCATGTGTGGATCAGGAAGGTGAAAGAATGTGGGGGTAGAACAGGCAAGTTCTTCTTTTGCACTTGCCCGCTTTTATTTCTTAAAACAAACAAAAGTTTATCCAATAATCACCCAGTAGATTTTGTGTCTCATTGACTAGAATTAGGTCACATGACTACCTCTAGTTTCAAAGGAGAATGGGAAAACTAGTATTTGGAAAAAGAGAATGGGGTTGCCAATAATGATTCATCATTTTGAGCTGCCTATGTTGCTGGTACTAGCAAAATTCAGGTTCTGTTAGTCACAAGTATATGGGGAGTGGTTATCGTGTAATCAATTAGCAGTAGTGCCACAATTCTTCTTCTCTCTGATGAAAATGCTCCACTCCCAGATCTTCTCAGGGTTTATTCATTCACACCATTCAAGTCTCTGCTCAGCTGTTAGCTCCTCAGAGGGGTCTTCTCTGACGCCCTATGTAAAATAATTATCTACTCACCTGCCCTACCCCATCCCTATTACTTTTTCTTCACGTGTCATTACCTGGTATCATATTGCATGTTTGTGTACTTGTTTACTGCCTGTCCCTGCCACTTGACTTACAGATGGTAGTGATTTAGACTCACTCACCGCAGTGTCTTACTGTTTAGAATAGTGATGAGTCCATGATAGGCACTCAGTAAATATTTGCGGAATTAGTTAATTAGTTAAAAATACTGCAGGGTATTGAGGCGTTTTCTTTGGAATATCTGACTATATTATAACTCCTGGGCCTCATTGTATATAATTAAAATCACCTGGTCATAGGAAATGCACATTACTTTAGTAGTCTTAAGAGGAATGAAGCCTTAGCTCTGGCATACTGAATATCAGGCATAAACCAGCAATATTAATTCCATTCCATAAAGGGACCGATAAAGGCTCTGATTATGTGTGAGTCTTTGAGATTAAAGCCTCTGGTGCCTACAAAAGACTAGGATTAGGGAAAACAGGGAGTGGTATATGTGATATCACTAACCTTCTGTTTGCCCATTTGAACTTAGTTGCCTTCACTATGTTATGAACTCCATTTGTATAATTTAAACCCTTGAATGATGATTGATGGACTGGTGGGAAATAAGCCATGATCCCAAACTCATAGCCTTTGCTAACTTTGCACTTGAAATCAACCCAAGTCATGCATGTGAAATGCACCTTAAAATTATTTTATCCTCTTTTTTAATTTGATAATTTTTTTCCCTGGAAGTTGTTCTAATCCATATGTTTTCATAGATGTAATGAATTCTTGAAACTAATTGAGACTATAAAAGATAAAAAATAGTTTTCCTGATTTTGGAGTAAGGGGGACTTTTCTAATTGATCAAAATAGACCTTCTTTTGAAATAGATCATTTTAAAATTTCAAATCATTTTTATCTTTGCTTATACTTTTCTCTGGAAGGTCTGTTTGTCCATTGGTATCTGAGATGGATTTTATCTGAGATTACTCATTTAATTCTTTTGCTGCCAGAGGCAAGGCAGTTATGTAATATTTCCAGTAATTTTAATGATGCTGCATTAGGCTTTCATTCACCCATGAGGACTAGGAAAAACATATACTCCTGAAACAATGAGAACATAACTGAATTTTCAGTGTTTCCTTATTCGTTGGGTCAGCGCTCCTTACCTTAGCTGGGTGCCCTAGATTGATTGCAGTGTTAGGAGCTTGGAAAGTGGGTCTTTCCATTGAGGGGTAAAGGAGCCTGTCCACTTTCTTCCAAGTCAGGCTTTTACTTGAATATGGTAAACTCCTGGTTGATTGGTCAGCTCTTCAGTTTATTTTCATCTTGACTATATCTTGTAGAAAACCTTTTGGACTGTGGATAATACCTGCTTATTATTTTCTATCCTATCCCCACCCCAATCTGTTCTCTACCTTTCTTTGTCCTGTTTTTTGCCCCAGGAAGGTGACCTCTCTGGACTGCCTCACCAGACCCTTCCTGGCTGACGTCCAGCAGATGGCAGGCACTGACAGGACATTGGAGGGCAAGAGGGGAAAGAAAGACTGAGATCCCCCTGTCCTGCTGTCTCCCTGCTGTGGGGCTGTAGTTCTAACAGTGGATCCTTCACCTCTGCAGCCACTACCCACCGCTCTGACTCCAGCTATCACTGGGCTCTGGCTGGAATGGTAACATCTTCCCACTGTCGCTCTCAACATCCCTTGTTGCTTCCTTATCTGTACACACACCTTTCATTTATATTAAAGCCTCTTTGGCTGAACCATTTTAGAGGAATTCTAGCTCCTGCCCTTACTCTTAACCCGTAATTTTCCATGTTTTCTAATATGCGAACAGATTTTCCTCTATTTCTATATCTCTCTGCTCATTTCACAGGGACTTTGTAAAAACTTGAATATCATCTTGACCTGAATGTTCATAATGCATTTTTTTAAAGTAAAGAGTTGAGGAGCCAGCCCAGTGGTGCAGCAGTTAAGTTCGCACATTCCACTTCTCGGTGGCCTGGGGTTTGCCGGTTTGGATCCTGGGTGCGGACATGGCACCGCTTGGCACACCATGCTGTGGTAGGCGTCCCACGTATAAAGTAGAGGAAGATGGGCACGGATGTTAGCTCGGGGTCAGGCGTCCTCAGCAAAAAGAGGAGAACTGGCAGTAGCTAGCTCAGGGCTAATCTTCCTCAAAAAAAAAGAAAGTAAAGAGTTGAAAATGAGGGATGCTTGTTATAAAAATTCAAGCAATCCCCGAAAAATGCGAGGAAGAAACAGCCCATAATTTCACTGTCCAGAAATTACCAGCGTTAATAGTTAATATGTGGTGAACGTCATTCCATAAATCTGTCCATATTGTTGGGAGACAGTTCTCCATGGTTCTCTCGCATTCCTGCACATCCTGTAAGAGGCACAGGACTCTTTTCCTGTCACGTAATCCATTGCATGTGCAGTTGTTATCTGGCCCTCAGATAACACTGCATCACCTTTGGGTATTAGGGCTTGAGGAACTGATGCAAAAACACTTACATTCTGGCTACTATGATTGCTCTGAGTAATAAACTGTCCTTTGTCTCTGACTCAGGAGACTTATGTCTTCTATCAGCTTCCATGGCAGGCTAACTTGTTAGCTTACAAATATGGCAGTTTCTTGACAACTTTGGTGACAAGATGGGATACTGACAGACATTGCTTTCTGAAAGACGAAGGACAAGGATCTTGTCTGATCAGTTGGGTTTGGGGGAAGCCCATGGGAATTGGTCATTGAACATGCTAACCAAATTGTATGGTCAATCATGCAATAAACAGTCCTCCACTTTATTGCCTGTTAATGAGAGGGAATTGGAGAGGTGGTTGCAAGCCAAGTATAGGGAAGTAGGTTCAAAAACAGGTGCCTGGACAGTGTCCTGGTTGTTGGTAATTATCCTCCAAGTGGGGAGATTTCCTGCCAATCTGATGATCTCTCTCAGTCTATTCCATTTTAACAGTTAATACTAACCTGTCCTGGGTGGGCAGAAGATTCTGCTCTCTGACTACAGTTACAGAGATGCATACGTACACTGAGGATGACAGGATGGGGCTTCATGACTGCCATGGACAGAAACCAAGTGACTCATTAGAACTTTGACTGGTTTGCTTGGGAGATGAGGGTACAGACTGTGTAATATCTACAAAGGAAGGGCCAGACAGCTGGGCCTTCTTATGGCCAATTACTCCTGCAGTGTAGAGTGACAATCTTGCATCCATTCCAAAACGAGTAAAAGATTTCAGAGTTTTTTATAGTGGGTTCTGGCTGCTATAAGGTAGTTTTGGCCCTCTTGGGGAGATTTCCCTAAAATAGATGAACTCTTGTGGAACATCATACATAGGCATCAACTAATATTCAGGCTCTTACATTGGATACACAATGCTGATGAAAGTGGTCCACTAGGAAATGAAAAACTGACCCAAAGAAATATAAATTATTGCAATCAGCTCTGGTGCCCTGGAAAACTCCTTTAGCTCTTACGTTGAAACCAGGCAAGAATTTATGAGGTGTCGTCATGGTAATGGGACAGCAGATGCCCTGGATGGAAGTAGACCCCACAAAGTAGGTCACTGCTGTGCAAACCTAGTTCAAGTCATCTGAGGACACACAAACCTAATGGCCCTATCCAGAAAGCAGTGTGGCGATGGCTGCTGAGTGAAGGAATTCCCAAAGATTAACTAGATGCTGTCAGCTATGAAAACCTTGGTGCCTGACATAGAGTGTTGGGAAGACCAACAACATTAGAAATTCATTTGCTTGAGCCATGAATTGCTGCTCCGCTACTCAAAACTGACAGCAAATGCGAAGTCTTGTTAAATGGCATGGAGTTACTTTCTCCTTCTGCATCCTGTGATACCTTCCTTCCACCTTATCTTTAAGGTTTAAGGAGAAACATGATTAGAGGTGGACCCAAGGTCTCCCTGTCTCAAAAGTGGATAGAAGGCTCTATACAACCATCCAAGTTTGCTGGGAATTTCAGGGAGGGTAGGGACCCAATCTTTTATGGTTCTGTTGGATGTGGGTGCCCAAGTCTCTATCTTACCCAGACCTGTGAAAGGAAAAGTCACTTGGATTCAGTTTAAGGGGTTTGAGCAGGGTTCACAATGGGGAGAGGAACTAACATAACCTTCTGGATGGGATTCTCTAGGTCAATTTGAATATACTGTTGATTCTACAACTGAATAGTAGGAATTATTGTTTTATATACTTGTCCATCTCCATCCCATAAGTGCCAGAATGATCGGAAGAGCCACATGTAGAGATGTGCTGGTGGGAAATGTAAATCACTACCCACCTTGTCTCCCTGGGCCCTCCCAGATGGTCTAACAGAAACACTATAGAATCCTGGCAGGACAAAGTGAGCTCACAGCCTTCATTAAGGACTTAAAGGAAGCAGGGAATGTAAGAGATGCATTATCTCGGTACAACATCCATGTATGGCCAGTGAAATTTGCCAATGGGTTTTGAGACTTACAGTGGATTATCACCGACTGAATCCAGTTGTTGCTTCCATGTTCCAGCTGTTCTAGATAATGAGACTATAACTGAATCCATTATACAGACCATGGGAGCTTGGTATGCTATCTTGGACATTGCCAAAACCACCTTTGCCATAACACTGACACCTGAGGATCAAGATCAGTTTGCATATGTTTTTAGTACTCCCCCAGGGGTACCTACTTACCTGCCTTTCGCCACTGGTGGGTAGGTCAGGATTTAGCTTCTACCTTCTGGTGTCCACAGCTTTCACTATATAGATGATGTCCTATTGATTAACAAGTCAAAAGTCTTAGTCTCAACAGCCTTGAATGTGGTATTGTCACATCTCCACCAGCAGAAGTGGCTAATAAGCCCTGACAAAATGCAGGGGCCTCCTTACCATGTAAAGTGTATTGGGACTATCTGGGAAGATTCATAATGTTCAGTCCTTCTGGCAGTCAAAGAAAAACTGGTGTCTCTTTGCTCCTCCCCGCTCCCATCAACTCCGTAAAAGAAGGTGCAGCACCTGTTGGACTCTGCAGACAGTATGTGCTTCATGTGGCATTCTACTTGGTCTTTTTTATTTGCTAACCTACAGATCAGCATCCTTTCACTGGGGCCCAAGCCAACAAGCTGACTTGGAAGCTGTCTAACATGCTGTGATGCAGTATCTTTGGGGTCCCACAATCCTAATGACTCCTTTGAGCTACAAATCTCTGTACTGATTGGAGTCTCTGCCTGAAGACCTCTTTTGGGGTTTTGGACTTATTCCCCTCTGACACAGCTACCAGACACATCGCTATTGGAAAGCAGTTATTACCCTGAGAGCTACTGAGCTCTTGTCAAAAGTGAATACCTTACCGTAGAGGCCTCGGACTCTTTGGCTTGTAGTTTCCATTTGGGGATGGATCAAGTTGGACTCAGCAACCAACAAGGTGGAAAGGGCCCAATAAGCCTTGCTTGTCAAATAGAAATGGTGTGTTCAAGTGCACAGATAGCCTGACTCTGCAGTATCTCAGCTTTACGTGCAAATTCCCCTTTAGGGAAAACCTTATCTCTCCCTCTGCCCCCTTAAGGAAATCATTGGTTCAGTGGCGCTTTTCCCATAAATAATAAAGTCCTGTGTCTCTGACCCAGGAGTCTCTTGCTAGCATCCGTGAAACTGTGGCCAGATAACTTGATAGCTTGTCAGTAGGGTAAAATCCTAGAACCTGTACAGTTCGTGATAGTTTTGGCAATGAGAATGGGATGCTGAAAAGGGACATGACTTTCTGAAGAGGAAGGAAAAAGGGCCCCTACAGGCTGAGTTAGGGAAGGTGAGAAGATTTCCTGGATTTCAAGCAAACACTCTGCCTCAAGTGGTGGGGGGGGGTGGGGGGGGGGCCGGGGGGCCAGTAGTAAGGGTTGTCCACTTGTTCTGCCTGTTATTAACTGTTTAGCGGCTGAGTGGTGAGAGATGGGTGTAAAACAAACCACCTAAATGTGCTTCGTTTGTGGCTCACTCCCCTCTGGTGGTGGCGTGGGGGTAGGGAAGGATGGAATGGCCTCAGCTGCCTTCAGGAAAAGGCCCAGGGTACTGGGGACCTTCTTAGAGAGGGAGGGGAAGGGCACACATGTAGAGCTGTGTTGGGAAGAGGCGCTGAAGGCCCCAAGGTGACCCATTGTAGCACATGCCAGAAAGAAAGGAGCTCCTGAGTCCAGACAGTTCTGCACAAGGGAGGAGGGGGTTCCAACCCTGAGATAAGGGGCCATGTACTAACAAAAGCCTTCTTGCTGCTCCAGCTGTTGCCCACAGGTTGGCCTCCCTCACACCCCTGCTCTCCCTGTGCTCCTGGTCTGGAAATAACAATCTCCTTATGGCTAGTATAGCTGTTGTAGCCCCTAACCTGTAGGTTAGTCTGTGTTACAGTAGAAAAAACATACCTGAAATCGACTGAGGGTTTGGGCAAATTTGCAGTGGGAAAAAAGGTTCAGTTAAAGGGACTTTGTGGGTAGGGCCCTCTCTACTGATTTGATGTATTGTTATAGTTCTCACTGTAACTGTATAATGAAATTGATGTGTTGCATGCTTGTACTGTAAATACTCATAAAGTGTCCTAGGAAATTCTCCATTCAGGGCACTATGACATGTAGAAGAGTCCTTGCCATTTGCCACAGGTAGGTGGATTGGGATTTGAGTGTCTCCACCCTCTGATGTCTAAAGATGTAGATGATGTCTTGTTGGTTAGTGAGTCAAAAGCCTCGGTCTCAATGGCCCAGACTGGTGTTATCACACTGTTACCAATTCCGGGGGAGGGGGGGTCGGGGCTGATAAACCCTGACAAATTCAAGGGCCTGCTTGCCAAAGAAATTTTCTTGGGACTATGTGCGTGCTTCACAACACAGCTCCTTTGGTGGTCAAAGAAAACGTGCTCTTTGGCCACCCACCACCTAAGAGGAGGCCCAGTGTATTTTTGAACTCTTTGTGTTTAGGAGACTGTATGTACCTCACTCGGGCATTCTACTTAGTGCTTTATATCAGCCAACTTGCATATCAGCATGCTTTAGCTGGGTCCTAAACCAGCAGGCTTTGCTGGCCAAATGGTAGTAGCGTGTTCAGGGGTGCATCTGACCTGGTCCTAGCATTATTTTGGTTTTGTATGAAAAAGTGGCAGCTACTGATTTTGGTGAAACTTTGTCCTCCATTCTGCCACCTGAAGCAAAGCCACTGGCTCAGTGGATCCCTGGACTCACAGAGGTTCCCCTAAGTGCCTGGGCCAGGTTCACTGATGGTTCAGCTGAGCTGAAACCTGATGGTGTCGACTGGCCTGCTGTGGCAGTTCCACCTAAGGGCCAACTGCAGAATGGATGTGGGTATTTCAGTCGTTGGGACAGAACTCTGGCCAAATACTCCACTTGAAGAACCTTGTTATATTTTTACTTACTTTTGGGCTATTGCCAATGGCCTAGCTACTTGGTTTGCCATCTATAAAACTACAGAGTGGTGCATGAAAGACATCCCTCTTGGGGGCTGTAAAGTGTAGAACCAAATTCTGCTACTAAGGGAATCATCTGGGCCACTTACATAAATGTACACAGTAAGAGTATGTTCTTGATGACACTGACAGGAATAAAGCTGCTAATTGAGCCTCTACTCCCCAGACTGCCACCATTGCTGCAGATTTACCATTATACTGGACACAACAACACATCTACCATCATAGCTGGACGCAAAGTAAACAAGTCAACTTTGGTGAGGTTTCTGTTGCAGAGGCTACCACTGTGTGCCAGACTTGACTCTTGCCAGAAGTTGACCCATTTATCTGGCAGCGAGAGAGCTTACACTGCAGGTATCCCACGTGCTCCTAACATTGGACTGTGGGCCCCTTTCGGGGGTAATTTGTTGACACTTTTTCAGGTTATGGTATTACTTCCTATCCAATCAGATGACTCCAGATGACTCTTGTAGCCCCTGAAACTATTCTTGGTCATGTATTTGGCTTTCTGAATCATTTAGAGTCTGAAAATGGTGTGCAGTGATGTCAGCTTCATGGCAGAGTGAGTTCTCCCAGAAATCTTTCCCCTCCAATATACAGTGAAAAGGACATTCATACTCCAACAGAGGACATGCAAACACAACACAAAAAACATCAGAGAGATCATTTGGCTGTGTGGACAGCCAAATGATGGAGGGCAGAGAGGCTGGAGCCCCCCTTGGAGGAGGTGGAATGGAGTAAGAGAAAACTTTGCTCCCTCCCCTAAAGACTGTGATCCGGGACTGTGGGCAGCCTCCGAGAGGGAAGGAATGTGGCAGGGGACGTTTGTTCATGGGAACATCAAGAACTCCCAAGGGCCCTTGCAGCCTAGAGGGAAGCCTTCTACCAGGGTGAAAGCTTTCACAGGGGGTGACTTTATCAAGCCAACACTCCAGAAGAGCAGATAGCGAAAGCAGAGTGAGAAAACCCCAAGAGCACACAGGAGAAAGCGCCCCTCCCCCCACCCGCTCAGTATGGCTCCATCCCCTGTGATTTCAGCTGAAGGCAGGTGGCTTAGGATATGGGGCTCTTGACCCCAACCCAGTGGCGATAGGTGGTACCTGCGACCAAATAATACCAGGATGCAAAAAACAGAGCCGCTCCCTCTAGCAATATCAAACATTATATTAGCTCTCCAGACCAGAGAGAAAATGACAAGTACCCAGAAATCACTCCTGAGGATGCAGAAATATGTAATCTAAATGACAAAGAATTCAAAACAGCTATCATCAAAAAACTCAATGAGATAGAAGAGAATGTAGAGAAATAATTCAACAAATTCAGGAGCTACGTCACAAAAGAGATTGAAAGTATAAAGAAAAATCAGAAATATTAGAGATGAAATACTCAATGGAAGAAATGAAACAAAATATGGATCCTTGAATGCTCGAGCAGACACCATGGAGGAGCCTATCAGCATAATCAAAGATAGACATGTTGAAATGCTCCAGATAGAGGAGCAGATAGAGGAGAGAGAACTAAGGCTAAAAAGAAATGAATAAAATCTCCAAGAAATATCCAACTCAATTAGGAAATGCAACATAAGAATATAGGTATTCAAAAAGGTGAAGAGAAGGAGAATGGAATAGAAAACTTGTTCAAAGAAATAATAGCAGAGAACTTCCCAAACCTAGGGAAGGAAATCCACGTGGAAGAGGCTGCCAGATGTCCTAAATATGTCAATGTAAAACGACCTACTGCAAGGCATATAGAAGTGCAACTGGCAAAACTAAATGACAGTGGTGTGCAAAAGCCACTAAAAATGGACTGATAGTCAAGGTGTTGATGGGCCTTTCACGATCCCCACCATCCACATGCATCTGGTATGTTGACCATTGTAACATCCTCCTAAAAAAATAAGACTCAAAAAGATTTCTGACTTTACTGTTCTCACCTTCTTCAGCTCCACACTCCCTAGAGTAAGACGGTTTTGTCTCTGACTGAAACTCTTCCCAGAAGGAGATCATTTTCTCTCAGCTGCTCCTGGATAACGATCAGGACCAAGAGAATGGAAAGTTATATAGATCTATTTTGATAATTTGAGATTCCATGTTGACCATTCCTGGGCATGATGATTCTTTTTTTCCACCAGTGGCAACTCCAAGTTGGCCTGCTTTGTCCACCCTCCATATGGCAGCCAAGACAGAAGGGACCTCAGGGATTTAAACAGTCTGGCTCAGCCACTTACATTCTCTTATTTAATTGATATTGTGCTAAATTATAAGAATAATGACCACTTGGTTGAGTACACTGCTTGCCCAGTCCTCCTGCAGTGGCCCATATGGACCAGTGGGGTGGGGAGGACATGGTAGATCTCTGAAAATTTTATAAAAAGGTCTTTATCCTGTTTTGCACCTGACACTTCTGGATGAAAGGTCTCAGTGACATTAGGAGATGATTGGGGAAAAGGTGAAGTTGTAGCCAGCTGGAAGTCCTCTGTGTCCGCTGAGGTTCAGTGGGGTGATGTTAGGAGTCTGGCTTTTCTAGGTCTTCCTTCTTACTTCCTCAGTTTACTTCCTTCTAAATTAGAAGGTATTAGTAATAATTCTAAGGTTTTTGTTTTCTTTCCTCAGAATCGCTTCTACAGCTGGAGGTCGGGTTGGGAGCCAGGTGATTTTGTAAATCACACTAGCATCCCTTGTGTCTTTGCTTGGCTGCCACATTTTGAAGTTAAAGAAAAAAATTGCACCCTGTGCCCTATGAAGCTGCTGCTTGTGAATTTTTGACCTTTTATTATTATATTTTTTGTTTGTTTTATTAGATGTTAGTGGAAGAATTTTGCCATTCTGCTTTATTCTCCCCTTTTTACCTTGAAGTCTCCATAATCCATACCCAGCATCAATAAATGATTTCTGAGTTTTAATGAAATGTTAGTAAAATTCTTTTCAAATATTTCCATATATTCAGTTGAATCCGATTTTCTTTCTGAATAGAAAAAAACCAACACTTTCTTAGCTTGCTGCTCCTTCTAAAATCAGTTTTGTCAGTGTCCTAATACTTGTTGTTCATCTGTTCTAAGAACCCATTACGGTTTTTCATCACTCCCTTTTAAATGTATTTGTCTTATTGTGAGATATACATAAAGTACATAAAACACGAGCACTTTCATGAATAATTATAAAGCAACCACCGTTGTAATCACTACTCACGTCAAGAAATAAAACATTGCAAGTACATCACAAGCTCTCCCTCAACCACATGCCCTTCCTGATCACAGTCCCATCACAGCCCCTCCAGAAATGACCACTATCTTAACTGTTGTGGTAACATTTCCTTACGTTATAGTTTTACTATTTATTTTTGCATTCCCAGACAATGAAGTTATGCATGTAA